ACACACACACACACACACATATCACACTCGAACAGTACACACTAGAGCAATAAGATCATTTTACCACTTTAAAACAGTAATGCTGGCACAATACATGGCAGATGACTATAGTAATAAAAATGGATTGATAAAGTATGATAAAATATTATTTCATATATTTATTTTATTATTTTATATAATATATTTTTCTGTTATTTTTTACAAATATTAAAAATGATAGCAAAAAGTATTTATTTATATATAAATATTATATGCTAAATAGTCCAAGAATGGGTATGATTTATTTATTTGTTTGTTTGTTCATTCGTTCATTCATTTGTTCATTTTTGGAAGAAAAAATATTATATGCTAAATAGTCCAAGAATGGGTATATATACATTTTTATTTATACTTTATAATTGTAATTATATTTTAATTTTTATTTATACACATACACACATAACACACATTTATCATATTATAATGTGTATTTAGTAAGATTGATTGATTGATTCATTCATTCATTCATGGAAGAAAAAATTGTATGCCAAGAGTGTGTGTTATATATATATATATATATATATATATATACAGTATATATACATAACACACACACACACACACACACATTGATTTGGTACATATTTTTTATGGTGGGTTTTTTGTTGTTTTGTTTTGTCATTGTACTAAAAAAACTGTTCATGACAGTAATAATCATAATAAACCGTTCTGACTGGTGCTGTAATTGTAATCAAATGTCACAGCCACCTCTGTTGGTTTCTAAAGCAGGTGTGTAAGTAGTTGAGCTGTGTGTATACTAGTAAGTGCTGTTTGTCTCCGTCAGGCTGGTTCACTCTGGCCCGGGCAAGACTTCATCAGTGCACGACTCTGAGCTGACGTTCGGTCTGCGTTTGGGCACTAAGCAGGGAGTGGAGACGCATCTGTTCAGAGTGGACACGGCTAAAGATCTGTCCAGCTGGACGCACCTGCTGGTGGAGGGCTGCCACAGCGCCGCCGAGCTCGTGCAGGAGGTCACCACAGGTCAGCAATCACTCCTGAATCCCCATCATCTCTCCAGAGCAGACAGACAATGAATGAGTAAACGTCAGGCAGATGTGAGGCTGTATGTGCTCGTCTCGCCCTCTGTTGAGTCAATAATGTGCTGCACTCCAGTGTGTTTTAGGCTTTTGTTAGGCTAAATATTGATTAGCCCACTAACCTAATATGTTGAATAAATAATCTTTCCATTGATGAATGGTTTGTTAGGATCGGACAATATTTGAAAATCTGGAATCTGAGGGAGCAAAAAAATCTAAATATTGAGAAAATCATCTTTAAAGTTGTTCAAATGAAGTTCTTAGCAATGCATATTACTAATCAAACATTAAGTTTTGATATATTTACGGTAGGATATTTACAAAATATCTTCATGGAACATGATCTTTACTTAATATCCTAATGATTTTTGGCATAAAAGAGAAATGTATAATTGTGACCCATACAATGTATTGTTGGCTATTGCTACAAATATCCCCCAGCGACTCAACACTGCTTTTGTGCTGCAGAGACACATATTACGTGGACAGTGCTTTATTTATTCGTTTATGCGTACCTGGTTTTTTTTGCCTGCCAAAATGAGAGATAATAAAATACAAACAGCTGTTGAAGCCAAAACACTGGAGTTTATCATGAAGGGTCATATTCTGATATAAATTAGTATTATTTTAGTGTTATTTATATACTATCATAGTTTGCATAAGTATTTTGACATTTTATTTTCATATTTTTAATTTCCATTTTAAATTTAGTTTATTTTTTAGTAGTTTTATTATGTGCTTTTGTGATTTTTATTATTTATTTTAACATAGGTTAAATATATTTTTATCTCAGTTTTAATTTTTATATATTTCTACTCAGTAATTCAGCTTGCATTATTATATTATATTATAATAATAGCTCTTATATATAGCTCTTATCTGAATTTTTTTGGACATTTTAGCAATTGTGGTATGTGTATGTGTTATATAGATAGATAGATAATAAAAAGTAAGAAGTTGTTTTAGGTTATGCTAATTTGTTTTAGTTTTTATTCAGTTTAGTGCTAAATAAAAACTAAAAGTAATAAAATTACTTTAAATGATAATTTAATTTATAATTAATTTAATTTTAATTTAAAGGATATACTTTAAATTAACTTTGCATCCATACTATGCAAAGTCATTAAAATAAATTAAAACATCTATAGTGATATACATTTTGAATTAGCTTTTTCATATTTTTAGTTTTTATTTTAATTTTAGTAGTAATTTTTAGTGTGGTCAAAAGATTAATCGCGATTAATCGCATCCAAAATAAAAGTTTTTATTTACATAACATATGTGTGTATACTGTGTATATTTATTATGTATATATAAATACAAATACATGCATGTATATATTTAAGAAAAATATGCTGTGTTTATATATTAAATATATTTATATACAATGTAAAATATAATAATACAAATATATAAATGTATATACATCTAAATATATACTGTATGTGTGTATATTTATGTATACATAATAAATATACACAGTACACATAGGTTATGTAAACAAAAACTTTTATTTTGGACACGATTAATCGTTTGACAGCACTAGTGCTTTTGTCTTTTTCTCCAAATGTTACAATTCAGGATGAATTAATTTTATTTCAGTTCTAGTTTTTATTCATTTCCAATTCGTAATTTTAATGCTTCAACTTAAACTTACGTCAGTTCTACTTTCCATTTAGTCTAAGTTTTTCTAACCTAATGCTTCTATTTTATTTGAGTGAAGAAGTTGAGTAAAGGAAGATGTGCTCTCTGTGTGTTGTGTGTAGCGTGCAGCTGGAACGGGAAGTCGTGTATGTTGAGCGTTCACATAGACAAGGGCTTCTCTCTGTTCACGGAGGAGGCCGGCGTCAGGAGAACCGTCCTTCTCCAGCAGCCCTTCGAGCGTCTGCGCATGTCTTCAGACGACGGCGTCCGCATGATGTTCCTGGACTTCGGAGGCCCAGAAGCCGAGATTGTGAGAGACAGTTTTACACTTTTCACTCGCTTTACTTCCTTTGAGGTTTACCCTGATTCTGAATTCAAGAAGCTCTTTAGTAGAAGATGCTCTTGTGATGCTCACACGTCTGGGAGTTTGATAAGAAATGTTTGGGTTTGTGTTGAGATCGCGGATCTCTTGGCCAGTTTGAGGCAAGGATGAGATCTCTTCTGAGATCGTTGAGGTCGTTTTCTCAGGAGAAGCATCTGAGAAGTTGGAGACTTTAGCAAAGAGTTAAATTTTTCTCTCTTTTTGAACATGCACATAATGAGGTCAAGTGAACATTTGAGATTTATTATGTTACAAATTACATTTTTATATTTTGTTTTTGTTTGAATTTTAGTAAAAATTGTTGTCATTTTTATTAGTTTTTAATGTAACTATTTGCTAAATAACTACTTTATTTCCCTGTTAGTAATTATAGTTATATAGTATAATTATTATTTCCAAATTTTTTTTAAATATATAATTTTCATTAACTAATTTTCTAATTTATGTTTAATTTAGGTTTGAGTGTTTAGTTTTTATTTTATTTAAACATTTGAAATGTTTGTTGCATAATTTATAATGTTACAAACTTTCTTTTTATGTTGTTTTTGTTTTAATTTTAGTTAAATTTTTTGTCATTTTATTCGTTTTTAATGTAACTATTTTCTAAATAGCTACTTTATTTCCAGTTAGTATTTATAGTGCTTCAACTCAAACTTATGTCAGATTATTTCCATTTTTTAAAAATATATATAATTTTCATTAACTAATTTTCTAATTTATGTTTAATTTAGGTTTGAGTATTTAGTTTTTATTTAATTTAAACTTTTGAAATGTTTGTTGCATAATTTAATACCGTTACAAACTTTCTTTTTATAGGTTCTGTTTTTGTTTTAATTTTAGTTAAAAAAATTTTGTCATTTTTATTAGTTTTTAATGTAACTATTTTCTAAATAACTACTTTATTTCCCGTTAATAATTATAGTGCTTCAACTCAAACTTATGTCAGATTATTTCCTTTTTTTTTAATATATATAATTTTCATTAACTAATTTTCTAATTTATGTTTAATTTAGGTTTGAGTATTTAGTTTGGATTTTATTTAAACATTTAAACATTTGAAATGTTTGTTGCATAATTTAATACCATTACAAACTTTATTTTTATATTTTCAGTTTTTGTTTTAATTTTTATAAAATGCATATGCTTTTGTCATTTTTATTAGAATTTGTATCTATTTATTTATGTATTTTAAAGTACATTTCCCTTTTTGAATAATTTACATTAATTATATTTTCTAATTTGTTTAGTTTAGGTTTTTCATTTAATATTTTTTAGTTTTAAAATGAACAAAACATTTTTTTTTTATAGTTTTAGGATTAGTCTGAGAAGTTGGAGACTTCAACAAATATGCGAAATTTGCTCTCTTTTTAATATCAGTGGCATCTAAGAGAAACATTTGCGATATTGATGAGATCTAATGTGATTTTTTTTTTGTATTTCAGCAATTGGACCTTCACTCCTGCCCTAAAAGCATCGTCTTCATCATTCACTCTTTCCTGTCGGCCAAGGTCAAGCGACTAGGGCTGTTGGCATGACGACGCCTCCTCAGGACAAACGCCATGACGACGGAAGTGACCGGTGGACCACTGGACATCAAGCCAAATCTTCCCTCACAGACTGTCAGCCGTTCACTGATGACTTCACCATGTGTTCCTCGTAACGCTGACCTTTTATTCGTTATCATTTTATTGGTTTGTATCTCAGATAAACTTTATGAATGTATAAAACATAATCACATAATCATACGCTATGAGAGCAGCAACAGAAACAAAGCAAGAGATTAAACTCTGTTCCAGAACCTACATAGGCAGCTGTCTACTAAGGGAGCGTCTAGACTGAACTGATTTGAGACACTGGTGTTTGCTAAGATAATGCTGTAATAGCAAGTGTAAAAATATGCATAAAATAGACCATTGTAATAAAATAAGAAATAAATATATTTTAAAACAATACATAAAAAAGTAATTTAAAAATAATAAAATAAATATATTAAAAATACTAAATTTAATTACTTTTAATTATTATAATATATACTCTTCAGTGTTTAATTAATTATTTATAATAATTTATCTTGACTCATTTTTCCCCCAAGCGTGTTGCACTGCATTCTGGGATTGCCTTCAACGCAAACTATACTTGTGATGCTGTGTTCAAATGTCCCTACGATACCTTAAAAGAAGGCAGCTCACTAGGTTTTGGAACAGAGACTGAAAACCGCAGCTGCTCTGATGGTGAAAAGGGCTTTAACGTTTGGCAGCTGAGAGAATCACAAAATTCACCTTTCTATGGTGAGAAATAACGGTTGTTTCTGATTTGACTTGCTTCTGACTTTAAATATAGCCTTTTAAGCCTCGTCGTCTTCCAGAATATCTGCTATGAATCTATGCATCTGTGAGGAGAGAGAATCAACCGGCCAAACCCTTACGAAAGGTACCGTAGTGCTTTATGATTGCCATATTCATATACTATATGGCATGTTTTTTTTTGTAAGGGAAATATGGTTAGTTCTCTTTTTTCCATTACAAGCCAAAACTCTCAAATGAGAATCATAATTCAGATTTAGAATTGGACAAACCTGATTGAGTTTATTTGAAATAACAGTGTTATACTGACCTCTAGTGGGCATAATGAGCATTACTAGCAGTATGCACTGATCTCCCTGGCTGTGTTTACAATGACACACTAACATACTGCATACTAGATTTGCCAGCGTTGATGTTAACTTGTTGTTAAATGATACAAAAATCAGCCTAAAAATAAACAGAAAGTAGTGCATTAAAATAGTCCATTTAAAATCAATTAAATAAAAATAAATACAATTTTTAGTGTTGAATTCATTTTTGACACTTTTTAATAATACATTTTTAGTAATTACTTTAAACCAGAGCACACTGCGCTGAATACTCTATCCCAAAATGCAATGCACTTGATCTTCCGTATCCAGATAAATGCACCGGAAATCATATCAGTTGTGATATTGAATCATCATTTGTTTAGATGCCTAAAAGTGACATTTTTACACATTTGCTTGCATTAAAAATTCATAACAACTTCTGGGATAAGCAGATGCTGCGTGCTGAAATAAACATGTTTATTGTTGCACGCTGTTTAAAACGGCAGTATTGCATTGTAAACACAGCCTCTTTTATGCAATATCATCTTGTTTTGTTATTTTGCTATATCTGACTGATTTGTGAGTAATGATGGCGCTCAGCTGTATTCTTCATATTTTTACCGTGCCGTTTGCGTTCTTCTGCTCCAGCTACATGGTGACGGCGATATGCAAGTGTTTTCTGCTCAGAGAGGGACTTTTAGAGCTGGAAAATATCCTTCATGTGGCCTTTTTTAAACTCTGCTAAATTTTAATATATTATAATTCAAACTAAACTGTAGTCAAACTATGTTAGCTATCGGATGGAAAATCATATCCTTATTTAAACAAAAGAGTGCCTTTTAGGGTTGTTTGTATATAAAATTGCAATAAATATAACTGTTGACTTGAGTTTTATGGGGTCATTTCCTGGGGCCCGGGGGCCGAGAGGCCCGGGGAACGGCTTTCACTCATATATGGTCAAAAACATGACCGAAAAGCTCAATAAAACACACACAAACACAGTCCGTCAGCCGGCTTCACTGCACACGAGTCATGTACAGTAGTTAACTGTCTTGGATGATTTGCTCGGAGAAATAAAACAAATGAGATGTCATTTGTGTCCGACTCTCACGACTGTTGTTGTGGTTTTCTGGCTGCGGAACAAAGCTTCACTCTTCTCCTGCTTTTAGCGTCTTTTTCTCTGAAAACACGTCAAACATCTTAGGAACAAATTCTGCAAATAGAAAATGTTGGGAGAATATAATTAAGGAAACAGAGCAATTTGTTAATTTAATTTAATTCGAAAAGGTTCTTTTTAAAGAGAGCATTCGAAATCTATTTTCCCAGTAAATACATAAAACATTTTTAGAAAATAAAAACAAAAATGAGATTCAGTTTTTTTCAGAGCACATGATCAGGAAACAAAGCAATTTTAATTTAATGAAGAAAAAAAAAAGTTGAAGATCAAATTGCTATTTGTCTTCAATTCTCAGAAAATGCATAGAGCACTCTAGGAGAAAAACCCTGGATTTTGTAATATTCAGAGAATGAAAATAATGAAACAGTGATTTTTCAGTTTATTTCATTTGAAAAATGTATTGTCTGAAATATCTAATCAACTTTTAACATTTGTAAAGGTAGAATTCAAATACATAACATATATTAAAGGGGTCATATGACGTTGCCAAAAAGAACATTATTTTGTGTATTTGGTGTAATGAAATGTGTTTATGTGATTTACGGCACAACGGCAGCAACAATACTACAGCGAGACTAAAAGTTACGCCTTCTTTCTTTGTGTGAACATTTGGGCGGCGTTATGCAAATCTTCCCACATAGTGATGTAGACATGTGGGGGCGTGTTAGAACGAGCCGTTTTAGGAGGGCGTGGCTGACTCTTAACTTTTATAAAGAATATCTCTTTGGGTTTGAGACTTTAGTCTTTGCAACTTTACAGATCTTCTTTATGCACCAAGAGCTTGTAACACTCCAAAGAGAAAGGAAACATTGAAATCGCATCATATGACCCCTTTAACAAAAAAAAACATTCATCGAGTGTAAATGAGGAAACCGAGCCTTTATTTATTTAATTTGACAAGGTTATTTCTTTTATAGTCAAATATGATATGATCATTTTTTTAATGAAAAGGGAAAATGGCACGCCATAAAAAGGGTTGAAAAGAATGTACAGGACAAGGAAAAATTCAACGTTTTCTCTGAAAATACATAAAGCATTTTAGAAAAAGAAAATGCATAGTACAAAGGAAGAATGATATTTTAATTTCAATAAAGTAATCCTAAAAAGCCATTTTTAGGCAGAATTGGATTTTTCTTTTTTGGAATTTGGATCGGATTTTTAAAAATCAGTTAGTATTTATAAAAAGTCATCTTAAAATAAATTATTCCTTTTGCATAACATGCTAAAGAGAGTCATTTCTATCATACAACGTAAGTTCAGTACTGATTTGTGTCGGTCCTCTTCTGTGTGCAGTGTTCAGGATTGCATTAAAGGACATAAATATGAAGCATGTATTTATTCTCCATATTGACTTCATGCAGGTTAAATTAGATCTGACTCCATGCCTGTGGGTAGCTTTTGAAAATAACCTTTTTTTCCCCAGAGAATATGGAACTGAATAATATTTCAGAGCGGTAAGTGAGTGAAATGAAGAGTGCTGGTTATATGTGGATGTTCTGGACAATATCGATGGAAAATAACTCTGTGTTATCAGAGCAATTAATCAAGCTTGACTCAAAACCAACCAACATTCTCTTCCCATAAACACACCTTTACCCGGCAACCGTCGCCATGGCAACAGAGATTGGCAGCAGGCCGCTGTGTTCATCAGTTAAATGGAAAAACTACATGAAAGAGCGAGAGAGAGAGAGAGAGAGAGACGCAGTGAATATGTTTTGATTAGATAATAAACTGGAAGGCACTCCGGAGGAAAAGAGGAACGAGAACATTGGTGCAGCATTAAGAGCATGATCTGATGAATCAAAGGAATCACTGATTCATTCTGAAAGATGCTTCTGTTCTGTCCGTGCGTGAAGATGCTCAAGTGTTTCTAAATCGCTGAAAGTTGAGATGAATCGATTTGCAATGAAATGATGCATTCTCTACAGAGATTTGGTTATGAGGTGATGTGGGTTCTTTTTTATTATTATTACTAAATTCATTTTATATGTTAAAGGTGAACTTCAGCCGGTTTTTAACCGGGTCATATTTATACTTTTTTTTTTTTAATACAAGGCCTGCTTGTAAAGATAGTATTCAGAAATATAGTATATATAGTTAGGAAACAATTTGAATTTCAATTCAATAAAAAAAGATTGCTGGCCGAAAAATCAAAGCATTATTTTAAAAAATTTAAAAATCTCAGAAAATGCATAAAGCATTTCGGGAAAAAACTGACAATGAAAACAACACTAAAAATAGAAAGAAAGAAAGAAAGAAAGTATTTATTTAGCGTACTTATTTATTTGACAAGGCTGTTGCTTTTGCAGTCAGATATGATGTGATTTTTTGATGCAACCTTTAAAGCAGAAAATGACTGAACAGAAAGTTTAGTACATTTATGACAAATTCAACAATTTCTCTGAAAATAAGTAATGATATTTTAATAAATTAAAATATTTATTTATTAAAATTATTCTTTTAATAATAACATTAGCATGAGACCTTGAGGCAAAGCTGATCAAAAACGGATTTTTTTACACACATAATCAAATGTCTAAATGTCTTTGCATTAGATATCAAAGCATAAAGGCACACTTCTGAAGTTAAGTTTGATATAAATGGATAATTAACTGGCGTTCAGGGAGTAGATGATGACAGATCTGTTCCTGTTCATCTGTTATTCTTCATATTTCTTCATATGTGCTGCTAGAACAGATGGTTTTGTTGTTCAGTCAGTAACAGCTTCACTAGTTCTGTCATTTATCCGCAGCTCATTATCAGTCATTCTGGGCTCATTTCAGGCTCATTCAGGATAATTATCCTTTATACATTTATTCATTTGGCAGACGCTTTTATCTAAATTGATTCATATTGCATTTAGGTGCACATGTATGCAATGCGTCATTGAAATAAACCCCATGACCTACGTGTTGAATCAGTACTTTATATTGAAAAATATATTTGTTCATTTGTATTTTTTGAGGTGGTTTTCATAATCTGTTCTTTCTGATGGAGCAGGTTAAACTAGTTGCTGGTGACCGCAATGCTGCTCTTTTCAGCAGGCGTTATCATTAATTATTGTTAATTAAGTGTCCAGTATTACAATGATTAATGTTGACACAAAAACTACATAT